CAAAAAGGAATTCTTTCGAACCAGGTTCAAAAAATATAATAGAAAATCACCTAATCGACCCTTCAAAGGTGATAATTCCGCCCTTACACACGAAACTAGGAGCAATTAAACAGTTTGTCAAAGCCTTAGAAAAAAAAGGAAACTGTTTCAAATACCTGGAACAAAAGTTTCCAGAAATCTCTGATGCGAAACTAAAAGAAGGGGTTTTCGACAGACCACGTATTTGCAAATTGTTAAAAGATGAGCAATTTATCACCAAGATGAAAAAAAAGGAGAAAGGCGCATGGCTTAGTTTCAAAGCAGTTGTCGAAAATTTTCTGGGTAATCACAAGAGTGAAAATTGGGAGCAAATAGTTAGTGATATGATTAAAAACTTTGGTAAGTTAGGATGCTTAATGAGCATAAAGTTGCATTACTTAGACTCGCATCGGGATCAATTCCCTGAAAATTTGGGAGATTACAGTGAAGAACAAGGAGAACGATTCCATCAAGATCTGAAAGAATTTGAGCGTCGTTATCAAGGAAGATGGGATGTAAATATGATGGCCGACTACTGTTGGATGCTGAAAAGGGATATTGTACCTGGAGGCACTAATTTGAAAAGAAAACCATTACACAGATCCTTTGATGACAAAAGAGTGCGCTACCATAAAAAGACGTGAATACCTTACTTATGTATATAAGAATTTTCATTTTGAATTTTGAAAATCTAACTTCAAATTCGTCATCAGCGACCCAAAAAAGCCCTAGATACCAATTTTGAAGTAAATCCATCAATTTCTAAAAAAAATAGCCTACCTCTCAAAATCCGACAGGTTTTTGGAGGTTAGAAAAAAATCCTGACGTGATGGAGCAAAACGGACTTCGGATTCGTCTTCAGCGCGTCAAAATACATAGGAAATGACTAGTCTGGTCTGCCACGCACGACACTTTTTTTTGTGGGGCTGTGTAATTCATACCGGTTTAAAACTATAGTGAGATCAGCTGGTCGAAACATAATGGCGAGACAAAAAAAAACATTGCCCAGCATTACGACATGGGTAGATGTAAGAAGTTATAATCCAACATAAATGTGTGTCTAACCTCTTAGCCTTTTCAATAATTTTTGGTGTCTATTAGTGCTTTTTCACTGTAAGTGATACACTGGAGTGTTATCACTCGGGACCGTCAAGTTTGGACTGCTGTGCCTCTCACAACAGTTTCGTAAAAACTCAATAGATCATGCGCACATTGGTTCTCCCTGGTGCCCTGCAACTTGCCCGTCACACGTGCATAGATTAAAACGGTAAGACCGTTTATTCTCAATCGTTTTTCTCCTTATAAATTAATTGTAATGTTATCAACAATTTCAAATATATAATTTAAACATCGTATGGAATTCTCAAATAACTCGACCGACGCTCGGACGCACGCTCTAATGGTAGTAAAGTAGCAGTGACAGCCTGTGGGCGGCTCACTGCTACCCGACTACCATTAGAGCGTGCGTCCGAACGTCGGTCGAGTTATTTGATCCGGGTACTCAATTCTAGTGAACACTCAAAAAATTTCACTAGAATGATTCTATAAAATTTGTACATAAATTCCAGAAAATCTTTATAGAAAAAGGACGTTTATCCAAATTTGAAAATTTTAGACTTTAATAAATAATTTTATTTCAAAAGGATAAGTAAAAACGATAACATTCGATATTGCTAGACTCCCTGAAGAGGAAATCGGTGTGATTTCGAAACGTTGGAGAAAACTTAATTAAAATCCATTTGTCCGAATGTTATCGTTTTTACTTACCCTTTTAAATATCGTCTCTCGGACGTTAAAGAATTATTAATTATTAATTTTATTTTAATTATGCAAAGGAGAAGAATTATTTTTTAATAATTTCACAAAATGGCGGATTTTAAAAATTCCGTACTAAATGACAAGTAAAAATATACTGTTTGAAGTTTGTAAAATAAATTTCTATCTGTTTTAACTATATTCACAATCTTCATTTATATTTATCATACGTCGAAATTAAAAAATTAACGTTTTTTTATTAATTATTAATTTTTCTACAAAAATCAAAGGTTTTTTCTATTAATTAATAAAAAATTATTTAAATAAAATAATTATTAAAAGAAATAAATAAAAACAGTAATTAATAACACAGGTCTACAAAATATGACTTTTTTTGATGTCGGAGTGGTTTCCAATGTATTTTTGTGTAGTGAACACGATTCAGGGTTCCAAAATTGCGTATCACGTCAGGATTTTGAGTAAAGTAGGGGTAAAGTCTCGATAAACCGTGTTTTTAAGGGTTTTCATTTTTTTCTCCTTAACCCAACGTGCTAAACACTTCTATATAGGCTTAAATTAAAGCTTAGATTGTACACTTTAAGACTCATATTTGCAAGATTAAAAAAGATTTTGAAATTTTGAAAGAAATGGGTATAAAGACTCCAAAAACCTTGTTTTTAAGGTAAGTATTTTCAGCATTTTCTTCCTCCTAAACCTGACATGCTAGAGACTTTTTTATAGGCCTAAATTAAACCTTAAACCGAACACTGAAGACTAGTATACGCAAGACAAAAAAATTTTTGAAAAAAATTTAGGATAAAGACCTCAAAAATTGTGTGTTTGAGGGTTTTCAGTTTTTTTTCTCCTTACACTCAGAAAAAACCTGATCTCAAAGTGAGTAACGTTGGTGGCGCCACTGTCTATGTCGTTTAGCATTGGCTCATTTTGAGTTGCAACAAAAATGAGACTAAGTTTTTTCAGTGCACTGACGTGCTAGAAACTTTAATACATATAGGCTTAAATTAAAGTTTTAAACGTATATTTTAAGACCCATATTTATAAAAAAAATTTCAAATTTTGTAAAAAGTGTGGGTCATGACCCCAATAAACTTTTTGGAGTGACTTAAATCTAAGTTTTTTTTTATCTTGCTCATATTAGTCTAAAAGTGTAATTTGCAAAACAAATTGTTTATAACAATAACACTGAAGTTCAAAAAATTATTTAACCATAAAAATCGTGTTCAGCATAAAAAAATAAATGTGGAACACTTATCTAGGTCCTTTAAAATATAAAATATTTCAAGAAATCTGTTTTAATTAGTAGTAAAACTTTAAACGTATTGTTCTAATGGTACCGAGTAGCATAATGATCGTACCGGATAACATCTACTTAATACTTTTAACCATCAAGATCTTACCATACATTTCTCAGTGTATGGAAAAATAATAAATAGAATTATGTATATATATGGTATATGGTTATTGCAATTTTGCAGCTACCTATTGAAAACTGACGTAATCCCGCATCCAACGAACCCTATATGAACTATTTTGGATTAGAGAATTTTAAAAAAAAGACCGGACTTAAAAAAAAAGTCAAAAAAATTTTTGATCTTCAAAAAAGGGTCAAATTTTGAATTTTTTGAAAAATTTCTTCATATTTTTAGTTATAAAATAAGATTTTTTTAATATTATTTATTTTTAATTATATAATCAGGCTCCATTTTCATTTATGTACGGTCAACAAATTCAGGTACTCACGTTCTCACACGAAGGTAATTTACTAACACAAGCATATCCACTTTTTCTATTGGCTGTTACCCCATAAAGGACTGTAAACGACATTTCGTAACAGATAAACGGTAAAGGGTTAATAGTTAGAAGTCTTCAAATATTCACTGTTTAAATTTAAAAAAACCTCCTTCCTCTCCTACAGTTTTTGAAAAAACCTAACAATACTTCGTGGTTAAAGTACTCATTCCTAGGGCTAAACAATGTGCAAGTTACAGCCAGATCCGATCAACTTTTTTTTCACTTCGTACGCTACAGGAATTTTACCCCATATATATATTACAGTAGAATCCCGCTTATCCGAGGTAATGTGGGGAAGGGGCACCTCGGATTAGCGAAAACTCGGATAACACGGATGAAATAAAGAATTTGAAAATTTTAATAATTTTTTATGTATTTTGATTGGGAGAATGAAATATGAACACAAAAGTAGGTAAAAATAAAAAAGAAAGTAAAGAAAAGATAAAATTAAAGTAAAAATATGAGCGTAAACTAAACTTTGGTGTTCAAAGTATTTTTCTACATAACATGTGAATCGTCACTAACAAGGTTTGATAAAATCTGTAATAGAACACTGTTTTAAGTTGCTCATTCGTTTTTTAGCCGCAATATCTCGCCATCGTTTTATCAATAAAATATCACTTGAATCACATTCCTGCTGTTCCTCAACATATTTAAGAGCCAATTCAAGTGCATTTAGCCCTTCTGCGTGGTTGATTTGTGGAGTTTCTTCCACTTCGCTATCTTCTATATCAACTGCGATTTCTTCTTCAGAATTCACAATCATCCCCTTGAATCCACTCTTCAGTATTGTTTCTTTCGACGTTTTCGCAACCAGGAATTTGCTCCATGATGTTATGAAGATCTACATCGTCTACAATTTCATTATTTTGATTTATAGGAGGTAAGATTTTTGACCATGACCTCTCGAGTGTGAGACTTCGGACAGCATCCGAAGCTTGAGCTGACCACTAAATGACACTTTTCATATTTATTTCAAGCAAACATTCTTTAAGGGTACTTCCGGCGGTACATTTCTTCAGAATTTCTTGAAGTAAGTAACGTCGGTAATGACGTTTTAACGTCTCTAGTACGCCTTGATCCATTGGTTATCCAATGGAAGTCACGTTTGGTTAAAAAAATTTAACAATTATGTTGTCACTTCTGAGAGTTGACTCGTTTGGATGCGAGGGAGCGTTGTCGAGTAAAAGAATCGCTCTTCTAGAAAGTCCATTTTTTCAAAAATCTCTCAACCAAAGGAACAAATTGATTAAAAAACTATTTTTTGAAGAGATCACAACTCATCCAAGCACTCTTCTGATGTGCATAGTACACTGGTAAGGCTTCAGGTTTAATGTGTTTAATCGCTCTTGGTTTAGCCGATTTCCCGATACACATTAGTGGAAGTTTGTAAGTTCCGGACGCGTTACTGCATGCTAAAAGGATAACTCTTTCTTTATTCTTTTTATACCCTGGAGCCGTCGCTTCTTCTCGTGAAGCCAATGTCGTAGAAGGCAGTTATAAATTTGATCTCGCGAGTATCCTTCTTTCTCTAGAATCTTCTCGAATTCTTCCTTAAATTTTTTCAATTCACCTTCATTAGCTGACATTTTTTCACCACAGATATTTAACTGACGAATACCGTGCCTTTTCTTCCATCTATCCAGCCATCCAACACTTGCTGTAAAAGTCTCACTTTCTTCGGGAAACTGTTTCGCAATCATCATTGCTTTTCCCTGTAAAATGGTTCCTGAAAAGGAAAAATGAAAAGAAATTTTGAAAAAAACTATTTTGAATAAGTCTTCAAATTTTTTGATATTCAACAAATGTTGATTTGAAGATTATGAAGCGTACTCACCTGATACTGGCAATCCTTTTTCTCTCTGTTGAGTAAACCATAGAAATAAATTTTTGTCAATTTTATCATACTCTGCGGGTTTCATCGTTTTACGACTTGTCATCGCGTCACCGAATATTATTCCGAATTGTTCTAATTTTGATCGATTTCGACGCCAATCGCCCACGGTGGTTTTCCCAACACCATAATCGGCCGCAACCTTCCGAATAATTTCCTCTTTATCTAATCTTCTTATCGCTTCCAATTTCTTCTCCACACTCACTATCACTTTCTTCCTTTTCTGCGACATGTTAATGTTTCCACACTGATTTTTTAAGACAACACTTAATTTTCAACTCGCAAACGTAGAGCACATAAATCGTGTTATAACAAGTTTATGTATTCATAAGCCACGGCACTTTCCGTATTATCCGAGCTGCACCTCGGATAATACGGATTGGTCAGAGCGCAATAGGTGCCTCGGATAACCCGGAAGCTCGGATAAATGAAGGTCGGATAAGCGGGATTCTACTGTATATCTCTATTTTCGAATCTCCCCCCTAAATTCGCTTCTGGATTCGCCTCTGTCTGTCACATCAGGTTAAGGAAAACAAAAATAATAAACCCTCAAAAACACGGTTTTTGGAGACTTTACCCCCACTTTACTCAAAATCCAGACGTGATACGCAATTTTGGAATCCGGGATCGCGTTCTACACATAAAAATACATTGGAAACCACTCTGATATCTTAAAAAAAATTCCTTGTATACCTGAAAAAAAACAATTTTATATTTAGAGGAAATTTCCTCTTCTAATATCCTCTCAACATTTTCCCTCAAATCAAGAATATTTAATTGGAATGTAGGATATTTTTATTCTCTGTTTTAATAGCAGAATGACAAAAGGATTTCTTTAATGTTTTCATCTTCAATTAAGATTTTCCGTTTTAAATTTAAAAGATTTGAAGAAAGGAGAAGAAAAAAAAATGATATCGATCAATCTCTTTTCCTGTTTGATTGTTATGCTATTGTTTATCCAACTTGTCAATTTTTAGCCTTTGTCATAAAATAATAGTTATCTAAATTTTATTAACTGAAAAACACAAAAATGTGAACTGGCTTAATTATATCGATCCTGATTGCTTCGAGAGCAAAATTTGATTTTACCTAGAAAATTAACACATTAATTAACAAATTAACAGTTAACAAAATTAACAAATGATTATAACTAATGATTACTAAATTAGGTACTACATTAGGTATATCTAATACAAATTTTTTTTTAAGTTTTTTCATCCCTTAATACAGTAATATACTTAAGGAAACTTTTTTCCTAAATCTTTTTTTGAAACTGTGCTGTCTCTATTTACCCCAAATTTTCATGAAATTTTCTAAATAGGGTAAATGGGGACATTTAGTTTCATGCGTTTAAAGCTTATTTAAATTTTTTCTGCTGCATAAAATTAATCCTGGGAATCTATATAACAACTGAAAAAAATAAACCCGCATATATTGCCTTTTAAAGAAAGAAACTTACGTAATTTGTGAAAAATATGGATTTTGTCCCCATCTACGCCAACTGACCCTATTTAAATTAAAAATAAATTCGTTGTGCATTAATAGATTAGATTTCATTACAGTTGTAATGAACAAAAGAGCTCAATGAAATAATTTTAAAAATTAGTATGTAACAATAATCATGAGTTAACATTTTTTATATTTATCTGCATAGAACGCATGATATATTCACGGAAAATTCTTTCAAGAATTTACATGCAATTTATATAAAACCATTAGTACCTAATGTTGTAATCATAAGTTGTAATCACAAATTTTTTTCTTATTGCTTATGACTCCCATAACATAAATTCACTTGAATTTTTGATTTTTGTCAATTTGTTTGTTATGTCATATTTATTTAAAATTTAAATTATTATTAATTTTGTCTAATTTCAATTTCCAATTATACCCTATTCTAATTCCCTAATTTAACTTAGTTAAATTAACTAAGTTGGGGAAAGGTTTATTAAATAAATGTTTAAATAAAAGCAATATAAAAATTATTTATTTCACACAAAAAAATAAAACATTCTTGATAACACAGGCACACAAAAAATAAAAAGCTGTTTGGCCGAGACACTACACTAGTCTATTTTCATGTATTTTTTCACGCTGAATCCGAACTCAGAATTATCAGATTGGCTTTTATTTTTGAGATAAACTCAAAAAACTGTTTGGTTACCTTTAGATGTGAATTGAGGAATCTCCAGTTAGCTTCTTATGTGATAGTGACCTCCTAAGATTAAATCTTCTGGTCGTTAAAGAAATTTATTACCGCACGAAACCACTGAGAACTATGATAATTTTGGAAACTGTATCTAACACTCGTTTTATGGCTTTTTTCTAACAATAAGTAGTGATGCTTCCGTATGTTGATTTCCTTCTTTTTATATCGTCTTTCATAACTCCAAATATGAAGAACATAACATCTTTAAGAAATATTATAATTTTACATATTGATCATTTTTAGGGTTCCGTACCCGAAGGGGGAACCCTATTAATGAGACTAGTGAAGCAAGGCATTTCCCCCCCCCCCTAGCGGCAACACGAATTTATCTAGAGGGCTGAAATTTGGTATACATATGTATTTTGTCGTGTAGATTACAGGAAAAATATAGCGAATTTCATAGGAATTGATTATCATAGCGTTGTCAAGGAAAAACCATGAATTTTTACGAAAAATCCCTGAAAATGACTATGTACCCCCCCTCTGGTTGCCACATCTTTTTACATAGAGAGCTCAAATTTGGTACACTTATGTATTTTTACGTGAAAATTACAGGAAAAATATAGCGAACATGATTCGGATCAATTTACATAGCGTTGTCAAGGAAAAATCAAAAATTTTGAAAAAAAGCGTTTAATCCACCTAGCGCACACACTATTTGACCAAGACAGTTCATATTTGGTATACTTACGTATTTTTGCGTGTAGATTACAGGAAAAATATAGCGAGCACGATTGGAGTTGATGATCATATTGTTTTTAAGAAAAACTCATATTTTTAGAAAAAATCATGGATTTTTCGAATAAAAAAAGAAGAAAATTTTATCCTAAGAAATCCAAATTTATACTTTTTTACGTATTAATAAAATAATAATAAAATCTAAAAATTAAAATATAATTATAATAATTATTGCAATAAAAATATTATGTATTATAAGATGAAGAATTTTCAAAAAAAGAGTTTAAGGATTTCGTATTTCAAGTAGTTCGTACGGCCCTGATTGCTGACGCCGATTTCGGGAAATCTCATTACTGAGTTTAGCGAACGACCCACTAAACCGGCCTCTAAACTCAGGTCGCAGTGTATACACTTTTACGTAATTTTGCGTGTAGATTACAAAAAATATAGCGAGAACGATTGAAGTTGATTATTATAGCGTTTTCAAGGAAAAACTGATAATTTTCGATAAAAATCATGATTTTTCACCAAAAAAATTTTTTAATTGAGTTTTTTCAAAACATACAATTTTTTTAAAAAGTGGACTTGTTCCTTAAGTTTTACAATTTTTGACCTAGAAAGATAAAATTTTCTTCCTTTTCTTGGGACAAATTCTTGATTTTTTTCAACTCCAATTGTGCTTGCTATATTTTTTTGTAGTGTTTTGCCATTCTTTATAATTTGCCAGTTTCTATTTTTTACCATTTACTATTTTTATTATCTTTTGACATTTTTTATTTTTTGATATTTTTATTATTTTTTAGTTTTATTAATTTATTTTCAAATCTATGCGCTCACATTATTTTCAAATTTATGCGTAGATTATGTTCTATGTTTATGTCTATGAATATGTCTATGTTTTCTATCTAGGCCTTCAAACTTTAAACCCCTCAAATTTTAGGTTTAAGGGTACGGAACCCTCGGTTTTAATGCGAGTGTAACTCGCACTTGTCCGATTTTTAATATTAATTACATAATTATTTATTTATTTAATATTTGTAACAATTGTTTTTCAAGTATTAGTTTCAAATATTAATAATTATTTATTTATAAATAATTATCTATTTATAAATATATTTGTTTATTTACAAATATTTGTTTATTTAAAAACAATTATTTATTTACAAATATATTTATTTATTTAAAAAAATTAATTTTACATAAATATTTATTTATTTTATTTATTCAAATTAATTATTATTAATTATTATTATTTATTTTTAACAAAAATGTTACAGTGACGTGACACTAGATAAGAGAAGTTTTACATTAATTTTTTGTTTAATTTTAACCAAACATAATAATTATGTAGCTTTGTTACTAATATCTAAACATTTTACGCAGAGACATCGTAATTTTATTTAATACACAAGCAGCACGGTAAATTCCCTGAATATCCCTTGAGTACCACAGTGGAATATTTTCATGATCTTCTAGGAAAATCAAAATGTCCGCATCATGTGAATATTCCACAGTGACATTCAGGGTATATTCCAGTGACATTGAGGGAATATTCCAGTATCATTAAGGGGATATTCAGGTTATATTGAGGTAATATTCCAGTTATATTGAGAAAATATTCCACGGTTATATTGAATTTTTTTAAATGTGTTTTTAATCTTCCTGATTATTCAAATAACAATTTATAACACATTTCTATTATTTTAACACTTTGTAGTCCTTTCGTTTATAAAATTTTTAAAAATGGTTAAAACAAATTTTCCTCTATATAGAAATATGTTATATGAGATTCTCATCAATTGTCCGGATGTATGTGTGTGTGGATCGTTTTTGAGAACACGATATCTTTAACAGGATTTAATGGATTTGAATAAAATTTTGTAGGCTTATTTAACCAATTAAACTCTCAAAAATGACGAGAGGATTTTTAAAAATACCCAAAAAAAATTATATCGTCTTTTCTCCAAAAAGTTTTTTTTAATTGAAAAAATTTTTAAATCGAAAAATTTAAGGTAATATATAATATAATCGTCGTCCTTACGTCAAAATTAATCAATTGATATATATATATAAAGTATAAATTTGAGCGAAATTTAAAGAATTAATGAATGTTAAAAAATCAAAAATTCACATTATACTAAAAAATGTTGTGTTTATTTAAATTCATTTTTATATATGAAATAATTTTATTCCCTGCATTGAAACGAATTGGTTGGTATATATAAAGTATAGATTTGATTTAAAATTTGAGAATTAATAAAAATTAAAAAATCGAAAATTCATATTTTGGATAAAAAAATTTGTGTTTTTTTAAAATTTAAGTTAATAAATATAATAATTGTATTCCTTGCATTGAAACGAATCGATATGTATATATATATATATATATAAAGTATATGTTACACCCAAAATTAATTAAAATTTTCTTAATTTTTCAAAAAATTTAATTAATTTAAAACAGTTTTCAACTCAAAATTTTTTAAATCAATCAATCGAATTTGAGAAATTCATAGCTTCCTCCACGAGGAAGCAAATTTTTTGCTTCACACAATGAGGAAGCAAAATGTTTATGAAATAAACATAAAGGACCCCCTCCTTGTTTTACTTATTATTATGTTATTTCTGTATTTATTTATATTTAAAAAATGTTTTTTTTGTTTATTTATAAATTTTGTGTTTTTTTATTATTATAATCGATGAGTATTTGAATTAAGGGTGATACATGAAATATCTAAAATATATATTCGTGCCTATGTTATTAAAACTGAATAATGGTAATATATGGATTCCCGGTCAAAAACCCGAAAACATATATGAGTGATATATATTAAAAAGACTGTTTTTCATCAATAATATTGTGATTTTGGTAAGTATTTATTTTCATTATTTTATTGAGTAAAATTTATTATTATTATTATTGAATTTATTACAGTATTTTTAATTTATTTATGTTTATTTACGTATTAAAGGAGGAGCTAGAAATCATGGAGTAAGAATAATCACAAGATAATTAATATGTCCAATAATTAACATTTATTCAATTTAGAATAATTAGGTTGAATGGAAGGCTGAGATCACTATTAACTGTAACTCTTAGTGCTTTTAAACGTTTAACAATTAAATACGGTTTTAACAAACACGATCGGACTTTCCTCGCGTACAATTTAACAATCACTAAGTCATTCCGAGAAATGCTCGCAGTTTTCGGGGAAACAGATAACACACATACACACCTGTTAATAAGAAATGAATAGAAAATAGCCTGCTTTCAGGCGCCTAAATTAATATTCGATCGTTATCTCAACATACCGCCCGTCTCGCGTCTTTGCACAAAATCAAAATTAAATTAAAATGTGATCTTCAGCCGCCCGCCATGACAAATTAATTTATTATAACAATCATATACAATCAAAATTTAAATGGATATAAAACAAAGAGTAAAATAAATTCGTTCAAGTTAAAATTTCTTACACTTATTTGTCGTTGGAATTAATTGGTAAAAGACATAATTTCGCAAGAGGACGATCAAATTCCGAATTAGCGGTACGAACCCTGACAGCACAAATCAAATTGTCTCGGCCTACTGAACATTGAGTTACTCTTCCCAATAACCATTTACAAGGCGGAAGATTTTCATTTCTGAGGAAAACCATATCTCCAACTTTCAAGTTCGGTTTTACGGAAAACCATTTATACCTTTTTTGTAGCACATGTAAATAATCGCTGTACCATTTGCGCCAAAAAATTTCCGAGGTTCTTTGAACTTGTTGCCATCGAGTAAGGCGATTTATCGGAGTAAACTCTTGGGATACTTCAGGCAATCCTATTATAGGTGCACCGATTAAAAAATGACCGGGTGTCAGATATGAGAAGTCCTCGACATTATCATGGAGCGGAGCAATAGGGCGAGAATTGAGGGTTGCCTCGACTCTTGTAAGCAAGGTATTGAATTCTTAATATGTAAATTTAAGTAGTCCCACGATACGTTTCAGATGGTATTTCACACTTTTCACCCCCGCCTCCTACAACCTACCAAAATGTGGAGCATTAGGAGGCATGAAATGCCAATCAATTTCCCTGGTCGCAAAGTGATTTTTCAATTCGACATCAGAATGTAGGGCCTTGACAACCTTTTTCAATTCATTTCGGGCTCCCGCGAAATTAGTCCGATTGTCGCTATACACATGAGGGGGTGTACCTCTTGGATTCACAAAGCGAGAAAAGACAGCCATGAAGGTGGGAGTGGTGTAATCAGTGACTAGTTCAAAAAGAAATGAATCAAAACGGACATCAAATGGACCCGCGTAATCCATACCCGTATGAGTAAATGGACGAGAGGGGTTAACTCGAAAGTCAGGTAAACTACCCATCAATTGTTGTGTAATTTCGGCCCTTTCTCTAACACACCGAATACACTTTCCGATAAGTCCCTTCATTAAGGATCTAACTCCAACTATCCAAAAATTTTGTCTTAAAATGTGTAAGGATAATTGCAAACCTCCATGCAATGTTCTCAAAATGTGCATGATAAGCTATTATTTCACTGATATGATGACGAGGCAAAATAATTGGGTGCTTTCAATCGTAACTTATGGGGGCATTATGTAAACGTCCTCCCAAACGAAGAATTCCGTGAGAATCTAAAAAAGGTGCTTTAAGAGACGATTTAGCGGATACTGTTTCTTCCCCATTTTGTAGGTCACATATTTCATTCAGAAAATATCCCCTTTGTAATTTTTGAATCCACAGTATTCTTGCTTGAAAGATTTCCCGTGAAGAAAGATTTCTTCCAGAATTTTGCAATTCAACAGTAGGATTCTAATTAACCTTTTAATTTCAGAGATTTGAAACAAAACGCATACAATAGGCAGTAACTCTCAAAAGTCTAGGCCACGAGGAAAAACGATCAGCAATTTGCAAGTCGCAGCTAAAATTAGAGACATGGTTAGAAACTTGACGCATTTCTAGGTCAACATCAACAGGAACGACAGCGATTGTATCAGGCCAGGAAACAGAGTTCCTTTTTAGCCATGATGGGCCTTGCCACAAAAGAGAGAAGTTCAACAATTCCAATGCAGACAGCCCTCTACTTGCACAATCGGCAGTATTTTCAGCTGTAGGAACATGGCGCCACTTTGCAGTGGGAACCAACTCGTGAACTTGTGCAACTCGATTGGCCACAAAAGTACGCCAATTAGAGGGGTGTTTGTTCAACCAGGCCAGCACTACAGTCGAATCAGTGTGACAATATAAATTGCAATCCTCATAATTCAAGGTAGAAACTATATAGCCCATAATCTTCGCCAATAGGACCACTGCACACAATTCCAATCTTGGAATACTAACCGGAGTTAAGGGGGCTACTTTAGATTTAGCCATAATCAAAGTGATTTTAACATTGCCATCCTCATCAACAATACGAATATAAACATTAGCTGCATAAGCTTTTGAGGAGGCGTCTGCAAAACCATGTGGTTCATAAGTAACATCCGATTTTGTTTTTTCGGTCCAACGAGAAATCTTAAGTTTTTCCAATTCGATCAAAGAGTGATAATAATCATTCCAAGTTTTTAATAAATCGACCGGTAATGAATCGTCCCACTCAAGCTTATGCAACCATAGCTCCTGAATCATCAATTTAGCAACAATCGTGACAGGAGTCAACGATCCAAATGGGTCATACAGTTTCGAGATAACAGACAAAACCTTTCGTTTAGTTGGGACAGGAATGTCCTCATTGTAGACCTTGAATTGGAAATTATCTTCACCAGGGTCCCAAAAGAGCCCCAGTACTTTCAGCTTCACATCTTGGTCTAAAGTAATCTGAATCGCGCGTTCATGTTCTCCCTCCGGACAATTTTTTTAACAAGATCTCAGAATTCGATACCCATTTACGTAAGTGAAAACCTCCACACTCCATCAACTCCGCAACCTGGATTTGAGTTTGTTCGGCTTCCTCCAATTCATCAGACCCGAATAGAAAGTCATCAACATACGCATCCTCTTCCAAAATCGATTTTGCCAAAGGAAATCTATCACCCTCATCAATAACTAACTGTTTTATAACGCGATTAGCAAGAAAGGGAAGAAGAAATTCGTCATGCTGTGCCGTAGGTGACAGTTAACAATTGGAAGATTTCCAACTTTCCATCCTTAGAATACCAAAGAATTCTTTGATAATTAACATCCCTAGGGTCTACCAAGATCTGACGAAACATTTTTTCAGCATCGGCGATGAAAACATAACGATATTCCCTCCAACGCATCAAAATTGAAATCAAATCGTTCAATATCTTAGTCCCTATCAAGAAATGGGAATTTAATGAGGAGCCATTCGAAGTTAAGCTAGAAGCATTAAAAACTACACGTAGTTTAGTGGTGAATCTGCTTTCTCTTATAACTGGGTGATGAGGCAAATAAACCACTTGAGAATAAGATTCATATTCTTCCACCGAAAGTCGCTTCATATGACCCAATTCTTCATATTTAGACAAAAAATCGGAATATTGTTTCTTTACTTATGGTTTATTTGACAAACGCTGCCACACCTTATTAAGAATAGTTTTTGCTCTATAAAAGGAATCACCGATTGCAATAGGGGGATCGGTTTTAAAGGGTAAGCGAATCATGTATTGACCTGAAGGTAACCGAGTATGTGTTTTAACAAAATAATTTTTACACCGAATTTCTTCGTCAGTTAGCGAAGTACTCGAAGGCGCCTCTTCCAATTGCCAAAAGCGAGACAATTCGTTCTGCAGAACTTAAGTGGTTATATTGTGATGCCACAATTGAGTTTCAGTATTTGCACGCGATTGATCCGAAAGGGAACCCGAAAGAATCCATCCAAAAATCGTGGATTGAGCAGTCAAAGAACCCATTATTTTTCGCTTAATACCGTTCAATAAACAATCTCCAAATTTATCAGCACCTAAGATAAAATCAATTGGCGTGTTACTAAAGGGTTCTGGATCGGCCAGAAAAATACCCTCCAAACTGCTCTCGACACAAAATGTAGGTCTTTTCGGTGGATTGTAAGAGGTTAAATTAAACAAAACTAAGGCCTTCAATGAAATGTTTGGATAACCCTCCTCCTTTGAAATAAATTCAAAGTGAACAAGTTTTTTAGACTCCCCAACATTATGACCTCCCACCCCGTAAACAAGAGCTTTCACATGATCATATCGAGGACTCAAAATTCTAACTGCTCTTTCTAATACAAAACAACATTCTGACCCTTGATCAATCAAAACTCTAAATTCAGCAGTTCGTCCCCACTCCGTTTTAACCTTTATTAACGCCGTCGCCAAGAGAGTACTTCCTGATAAATTAAAATTCGTATTAAATAAATTAATTGCTGTATTAGTATCTCCGACCTTTACGTTAAGAACACTTACGCTTTGATTTTCGTTTTCAACATGGCTCACCCCAGAAGTTGACGGAATAATCGCAGTTTGACAAGCTGTCGCTGAAACTGAAACGCTTTCAATTTGAACCTCATCCCTGTTATTGAAATGTAATAAAGTATGATGTTTACGATTACATTTAGAACATTTAACCTTGCTAAAACATTTCTGCGGATTATGACCGAGAGACAAACAATTAAAACAACAACGATGTCGCAAAGCTAATTCCTTCCTTTTTTTAATAGGCAATTCTTTAAATTCATTACAATTTCTCAAGTGATGAGCTTCTTTACACAAAAGACACCTAAGGCCGGAGTTAGAAACATGGCTTTTTACACTTTGTTTAAAATTTTTATTTTTATCAAAATTAGCATTTTTTGCACATTGTATAGCATCTAAAGCTCTAACGTGAGTAAGTAAAAATTCCATAAGCGTTTCAAATTTCGGATATGAATTAGAGGAACCCAACTTCACCTCCCAGTCCTTAAGTGTCGAAGTGTCCAATTTTTGAGTAATTATGAAAACTAAAGATCACTCCATTCATCAACCGGACGTTTCAAATTTTTAATTGCTAAAAGAGCCTCATTCGTTGTATCTATAAGTGATTTTAATTCGTCGGGCAAATTATTACTAACTTTTGAAATATTCATAAATGATTGAAGATGCGCTGTAATTATTGCGCGTTCATTGTCGTAACGAGACTTGAGTAAATCCCATGCCACAGTAAAATTAGTTTCAGTTACCATAATATGTTTTAGCAATTGAATAGCTTCCCCCTTAACAGAAGTTTTCAAGTAATGCAACCGAGAGATATTCGATAAAGTTTCATTTTTTATAATTAATGCTTCGAATAAATCGCGAAAATTCTGGCAACGTTATTTGAGGAAGTTTAACATTCATCGATTCATATTTTACCTGAGTTTCATTTAAAGGCTTCTTGATGGAAGCATCTAATACCGACAATGAATGTTGTTGATCATTTAAAAAATCAAAAGCTTTTAAGAACGCATCTTCAATTTTTAAAAGTGAGACTTTGTAAAATATTCATACTTTAATTTTTCCTCAGCAGTAGCAGTAGTCACAATTTTCACATCTAAATTCTGTGCCGTACTCCAGCGTTGAAGTAACAAATCAAGACGACCTTTGACAATTGTTGTATTTACGTTGCCTTTACCGATCTTTTTGAAATTAGTTATTGTTCTATTTATTTGATCATAATAATTTTCCATTTCAATTAATAATTGATCCATTTTGATCTCATAAAATTTATACAAAAAAATGGAAATAATTTCAAAATTAACAATACAATAATCAACACTCTACTTTAAATAAAATTATTACAGTAATTGTTATAGTGTTAAAACAGAAAATAGTGGTTTTTAAATTTAATTAAATTCACCAAATACTCATGTGTACAATAAATTGTTTTATCGGAGATTATCCGCAATGTTGTGAAAGCAGAAATGACAAACGCAATGGAAAGAACCTCAACAGTGAGAAAACGAATTCTGACAGCAACGGCCAGTATACTTGCGCTTTGAGTTTCCTTGATGATTTCCTCAGCTGGGCGAACAAGGTCAACAGCAGCATAGAAGGAATGAAAATTTGGCGGGGAACTCGTAAGCGTCACCAGATACTTCTCCTCTCCTCGATGCTTGCCAGTCTTTCCCTCCTTTTGAAATTTCCACATCAAAGCGGGAAACTCTTTGATACAGTGAGAGAGGGGCACTAAATTGACGGCAAAATATCCTCGGAGGGGAAATGATAGCGTCCATCAACATTTCAGCTTGTTAATTTGTTAATTAGTACACTTGAATTTTTAATAATAATTTAGGTGAATTTTACGACATGAGGAAAGAGTTAATTTTTCACATAAACAGTTACAACTGCTTTGCACTATTTAACTTTCCATTCACATTCAACACTTAAACAATAATTAAACAACGATTATTGTTTTTTCAATATTTCGAAGAAATTTAGTTTATTTAGTGTATTATTCACTCCAAATCCCGCTCGAAGGACCATGTTTATTTTCGTATTAAAGGAGGAGCTAGAAATCGTGGAGTAAGAATAATCACAAGATAATTAATATGTCCAATAATTAACATTTATTCAATTTAGAATAATTAGGTTGAATGGAAGGCTGAGATCACTATTAACTGTAACTCTTAGTGCTCTTAAACGTTTAACAATTAAATACGGTTTTTACAAACACGACGTGACTTTCCTCGCGTACAATTTAACAATCACTGAGTCATTCCGAGAAATGCTCGCAGTTTTCGGGGAAACAGATAACACACATACACACCTGTTAATAAGAAATGAATAGAAAATAGCCTGCTTTCAGGCGCCTGAATTAATATTCGATCGTTTTCTCAACAATTTAAGATAAAAAAGCATGTTTGGGTGACTATAATTTCAGTAAGTTTGAAAAGAATGTAGATAATTAAAAAAGTTTTCGTAGTAAATAAAAAATAATGTTACCATAGAGAAATTTATCCTTTTTTGTTTGGTTTTTCTGAAAAATTAAATATATTTTGTATTCCTTTTCTTCTTTAACTGGAAATGGTAGATCGAGTTATGATGGTGTTAGCCTAAACTAGAACAGAAAAATATTTTAGTTTTTGTTTTGTAATTTTGATTTTTTGAGTCTGCTTACGTGTACTATTTTTGGTTTATTTTTTATTTCAATTTTAATATTTCTTTCTCCTAGGATTTCTAAAAATTTATGGGGTCTAGTCTATTGATCACCAAAGTTCTTTGGTTTGGGTCCGCTTAATAAAAATACTTCGTCATCTATGTTGAAATTTTGTGGGTTTATTTTTTTGTCATATGTTTTTGATTTTTCTTTTGCAGTAATTAGATGTTCTCTAGCTATTCCTCTGATTTCATGTAAACGAGTTATTAGTTTTATTAAATAATCATCGTATGTTTCGAGTTTTTCATGGTCTGCTAGAGATTTACTAGATGGTTGTCTGGCTAATTTGCCGAAAACTAATTCGTATCGGGTGCAACGTGTTCCTTCATGCATACCAGTATTATAAGAAAAGGTTGCTAATTCAAGCCAATCGTCTTACTGAGAATATTTAGTAAAATTATCTTGTATTGTTAATATATATTCTTTTCCTTTTTTTATTACAGGTAATGGCCCTACCATATCCATGGCGACCTTTTCAAACGCTGTACCTGGAGTATCTGTGATAACCATAGGATGTTTAGTTTTTACGCGCACTAATTTTATTATTTGGCATTTAAGACAAGATTGTATATATTTTTGTATGTCTAATTTTACATTTTGCCAATAAAAATTTTGACAAATTCTGTTGTATGTTTTTGATACTCCTTTATGTCCTCCTAATGCTGAAGAATGTGCTTCTTCTATGAAATCTTTTTGTTTCTCTTTGGATGGGAATTGGGTTATTCCCAAACAAATAATAATTTTTAATGTGAAATCGGAAAAAACGTCATTTATAATATTCAAAATTTCATTCCAGGATATAGGGTTTATTTCTGCAGTTTTTGATATACTTATTAAATGTAATTTTAATTCTCTAGCTTTTACAGATAATGAGTTTATAGCTGATTTAATAAAATTTAGTTTATCTGTAAGGTTCAGTTTTATATTTCAATCAATTAGTAATACTAAGTGATATTTATTACCACGGTGATATTCCTTAACTTGTCCTAAGGTGAAATTTTTAAATTTTGGCAATTCGTTTCTTTGAAAAAGTAATTTTGATCCCGTATCTCTAGGTTCGCTTGTTATCGAAGTAAAATAAGCGAAATTATCTTTTCGCATTGTAAGTTGGTCTCTACATTCTATTATGTTTCGTTTTATAGGTAATTGTTCTACCGTCGGAATATCTTGAGAAGAGGGTGGCTCCGGTGGGGGTCGAGATTTATTATCTGTTGCTTGATGCAGTGTGTTTTTCATTTCTGGATTTATTTTAGGTAAAAATATTTCTTCTAAGGACTCACTTTCGGTTTCATCTGTAAAAAATTCTTTGTCACTGGAACTAGTGTCATAATTTTCTTCATTTTTATTATTATATTTTGGGTTAGAA